GTCCTCAAGTACTCTCTGAGGATTTTATTATATGATACAGTGGATAAGTTAACTTCTCATAAATGTATCCCTAAATGTGTGTGGTGAAAATATTCAAAGAGCCACAATTAAATTCTCAAACTTGCCTGTTTCCATTATCGTAGGTCATAAAAATTAGGGAGGCAGAGATCTATGAGATCCTGGACTTCTTCGTCTGCGTGATGCTGTATGTGATTTAATTTGCATTTTTTAATTATTTCTGAAAATATGCCTACTTCATGCTCAAGGCACACTTACAAGTGTGTATTAAACTCCCATACGACCCAAGCACATATTAAAACCCTTATAGCTGACAAGTGTCCTCTTGCTCCCACTCAGCCCAGAAGGTAAAAATATGCTAAATTTCGATTCCATTTACTCTGGCAAATAAAGTGAAGTGAAGCAACTCCTTTCTTGTAGGGTTCTTTAGTTCACAGGATTATAAGAATTCAGATCAAAGTTAGTGATGATGACTTGTCTATTTAAAACCAAACTGCATAAGTTCCTTCCTCCCCTGTTTCCACTCTTTGCCAATTATATTAATGCCAGAATTTCCATGGAAAGCTTATATAAAACTCCCAGTTAACTTTGGTGCTTTGGATGAGGCCTGTGTAATGATAACTAGTATCCTTCCCCTTCTCCTTCTCAGACCTGTGGCTTGGTAACAAAATTTTTGCTGCAATTTTTTAAGAAAATCCTTCCTGTAGGAGGTATTTGGTGCTGAGTTGTGTTTCATTTCTGCTCCAGAGAACTATGTTCCTGAGAGTTTGTTCTGACACTTTTATATACAGTACTAGTGTTCCTGGTTCTGGATGATCATTGTCACTTTTTACTTCTTTCTACTTTATTTTTACCATTCTTGTTCCATGAGGAACATTTGTTCGTGGAATTTAAAGGAGCCTTAAAAACAGCGGTACTAGTCTTATCATAGGGAAGCCTCAGTGCTTTAATTCCTCCATTTATTCATACTATAAGAGTAAGCTGGGTAACAGGAGGTAGTATAGGAGGCAGCACACCTCTTCTTCCCTCAGTGTGTCTGGGGAGAGAACATTTCACACTTCAGCTAGGGACAGACATTACACATAAACTGGTTTAAGTGATCAGAAACTGGTTTAAACCTGTAACAGAACAGATATTCAGTGAACATAAACCAGTTTGAAAATGGCTGAAACCAGTTTGAGATAAACCTGGTTGAATGTAGTATGAGACTTAACTGATTTGGGTCAAACCGGTTGATGCAATGTCTGTCCCAGACTCTTTGCTGGTTTAAGTTAAATCAGATTCCCCCAGCATCCCAGCATGCTCTCTGGGCTGGGTGGGGCTCTCTGCTCCACAGCATGGCTCGCCCCTCCCCTCTGCTCCCTGGCTGCAGCTCTGGCAGAGACCTGCAGGCACAGCAGGGTCTGCTGACTTACTCCTGCTCCCCTCCCTCCCCTCTCACCACTCGCTGCTTAAGCAGAGATTCTTTCCTCCTCTCTCACACAACACACACCATAGCCAGCATGTAGTATGCTAGCTAATGCTGTGTAAGGCAGATAGGACAGTGTCTGCTTAGGGCTTTTTGGAGCTAAACAACAGCTTAGCTGGTAATGTCCCTGCATTCCTTTGTTTGGAAAAGACAGACAGGGTTCGTTGGGTAAATCTGATATCTTTTATTAGACCAACTAAGTAGTTGGAAAAATGTTTCTTAGCAAGCTTTTGGGTTTAAAAACCCTTTGTCAGGTTGAGGAAGCATTTGCAGTTGGTGCGTGCTCTTCCTGGATGGAATGAATAGTAAAGAAGCCAGAGGCTGATACGCATTTTCCCTTGGAAAAAGCTATTCAAGAAGAGCTTGTAATGAGTGAGGCTTTATTTTCTGATGGGGGGGCTGACTGCTGATAACAGAGCTGATAAATGCTTTGTTATCGAGGGGGAGACCCCTTCCTAATCACAGTGGCCTGACCACGCCCCCCTCAGCTCAGCCCTGCTCTAGTGCCCCCCAGCTTTTAGCCTGAGCCACTGCAGGCATGTGCCTGCATTTCTGGGATGTCTGGTTACAAAACTGATTTAGTCTAGGCAAGTTAGACTGGACTTCAGATTGAATCAATTCAGACTTAGGCTTTTTGAATGTCTGTCCCTAGCCTTCATGACCCACCCAGCTAGGGCTGGCAAGAAAGGACAGAAACTCTAGCACTATATGCTGTGATGTATGAATGTATATAGACTCTTGCCCGGTTCCCATCATCTCAGACTTTAAACAGCCCTCTCGATTACAAGACAAAGGTATAATCAATAGGGTGAACCCTCTTGGCCCCGCTGAAGTCCAATTGGAGTTTTGCCATTCACATGAATGGTTCCAGGATTTCATCATTCATTCCCTCTCATGCCTTCTCCTTCCAGTCAGCAAGGGCTCAACCCTTTTACTGCCCTATTTTTGTTTTACTATTGTGGGCTGGTTAAAGGCATAAGAAGTGTGTTTTGTTTTGAGGATGGAGAGATTCAGAGCCCTCTTCATCTCTTCCAAGCATAGTGCCAGATTCCCACTGGCCCCACTGAGAGTTTTGAAGATCAGCTTAGTGCCCCGGATCAAACCTCTCCCTTTATAGTTGTGTGGACTCTCTATAACAGGATATCTGAAGCTAACAGTGTAAGGCCAGGTCACTCTGTGTTTCAGAGGATTTCCATCAGCAGACCTGTTCTTAGTGTCTACACCTGCTTATTCTGGGAACTTACTTTTCACTTTAGAATTAATTCATTTTACTATTCATTTCTTCTTGAGATGGGTAAAAATCAGTAGCAAGGAGATTTTGGTATTTGTCTGGCGGTTTTTGATGATCTGTGTATTGTAAGAAAAAAGAAATAGAAAAATAGGTATGTACTGATGCCAGATGCTTTTTTGCATTTGTAGAACATAGGAAATGTTTTGATATAAAGGTATTTCATGAGCAGTTGTTCTAAGCAGTGATCTGGTTGGCACTGATTTATTTCAAATGGGAAACTAATTTAAAATGAAGGCAAATGACATGTCGGAAAAGCAGGCAAATTTAATCCAGAAAACCTGCTGAAGAGTTTTTAGCAGAGGGAATTAGTACTCATTTGCAGCAGCCAAATTGGCATGAGAGGCTGAGTCCTTCCAGTCGTCCAGGTCTGTGATCTGTTGTCTGAAGGGCAATGAAAACAATAAGCTATATTGGCTCTGCAGGAATAATTATGCAGCCAGTCTGCCTGCAGGGCAGTGGGGGAGTGCACGACTCTAGTATCCTCCATTGCGCTTCCCTGCCCTCACCATCTGCTGTGTGCTGTTGATCTGACATTCAATCTGCAGGCTGGGGTCTGCAGGCCTGGTTCCACTTTTGCCTGAAGACATCACTTCCTGGTGGTGAATTTTAATATTCAGGGTTCCGTGAAGATACCTAGGCTCCCTTACAGGCATCAGTTATTAAAGTGTGTCAAAATAAAGGCAGGGAGGATTAGGTGATGTCATTTATTTGGACTTTCACAAAGTCTTTGACACAGCTCTTCACAAGAGACTCTTATGGAGGTTACAGAGAAAGGCTGTGCGAAACAGCTATGTTTCACTTCGGATTTCGCTGTTTCGGAGACAGTGATTCATTTCAGTGTTTCGGATCACTGTTCCATTTAGATTTGGCTGAATTTGTGTCAGAGTTTCAACGCTGTTTTGGTGCTGATTCAGAGATTTGGATTGGCCAGGGAGAGGCAGGCATAGCCAGGAGGCTGCACATTCTCCTGTGGCTCCTCCGGCTGTGCCTGCCTCTCCCTGGGCGGTGGGGAGCTGTGGAAGAAGCCCCCATGGCTGCCCTACCTGACCTCATTCCCTGCCCAGCCCCAGCCTCCCAGCACTTAAAAAAAGCCCTGCACTCGCCAGCTGCAGCAGTGGCAATCAGGGCCTCTGGGGGCTCATGGCAGAGCCCCCCTGTGCAGCATGGAGCAGTGGGGATCACCTGTGCAGCAGCTGTCGCATGGTGGTCGGCAGGGCACCACGTGCTGTCTGGGAGCTGGGGCTGTGCTTGGCGCAGGCTGTATTGAGCAGACTCGCGTGCACAGATCCAGGGGCCCGCACCCCATGGGAGGGCTGCAGGGCTGTGTCAGACTCCTCCTGGGGGCGTGCGAGCCCCCAGATCTGCGTGCAGGATGACAGCAGGCTACTCTTCTTTCCCCAGAGCAGTGGGATTGGAAGGGACCTCAGGGACAGAGCACAGACACTAGCCAGCTACAGATGTCAATATCAGATCAATCCTTCTGCCCCCTCTTCCCCCTCCCTCTTCTTAGTTTCTGTTTCCCTGCAAGCCTGGCTCCGAAGCTTTTTGGATGGTTAGGTTTCATTTCAGAGCCTTCCATTTTGTTTTGGATTCAGTGTTTTGACCCGTTTCGGCTTCAAAACACTGAATCCAAAATGAAATGGCTCCCAAAATTTTGCACAGCCCTATTAAATAGCCAAGAGGTGAGAAATAAAATATGATTTGGAAAATTGCAAAGATATGGGTAACAAAGAACAGAAATACTTGGGTACTCTTCATCCTGGCCAAATTATTCATAGGTTCATAAATTGTTCGAGGCTGGAAGAGACCTCACAGATCATCAGGTCCAGCCCCACTGCTCAAGACAGGAAGACAACTGGGATCAGGTGACCCCAGTGAGGTGACTGTCCAGTCTCCTCTTGAAAACCACTAGGGTAGGTGATTTCACCACCTGTGGAGGGAGTTTATTCCACAATCTGGACACCTGGCTATGAAGGAGTTTTTCCTGGTATTAAGCCTGAAGCGGCCTTCCAGGAGTTTGTATCCACTGGTCCTGGTCTTCCCCAGGAGTTCCCTAGTGAACAGTTGCTCACCAAGCCCCTAATGCACTCTGATATAGCAGTATGCTGCTATCAAGTCCTCTCTCAACCTTCTCTTCTTTAGGCTAAAGAAACCCAGGTCCCTCAGCCTTTCCTCATATGGCTTACCTTGCAAGTCCCTGATCAGACGGGTGGCTCTTTTCTGGACCCTCTCAAGTTTCTCCACGTCCATATTCATAGATTCATAGACATTAGGGCTGGAAGGGACCTCAGAAGATCATTGAGTCCAGCCCCCCGCCCAAAGGGCAGGAAGTCAATATTGAAGTGTGGCGCCCAGAACTGGACGTAGTACTCTAACTGTGGTCTCACCAATGCTGAGTACAGCGAGAGTATCACTTCCTTAGTTGATTGTAGTATGCCTCAAGGTTCCACACTAGGACTAATGTTGTTAATTAACCTTATCAGTTATCAGGATAAGGGAGTGACATGAAGGGGAACATTTGAAGATTATGTGATTTAGGTATATCAGGTCTGAAGAAGACTGCAGGGAATTTCAGAAGGACCTAATCAGGCTAGGTGAGTACTAGGGCTATGCGAATCTTTGGCCCCGATTTGTTTTGGTGGAGATTTGGGCTGATTCAGAGGCCAAATCTCCAATTCCAAATCAAATCAGGAGACCCTTTCATCTCTCTGAATCAATTCGGAAAGATTCAGTGATTTGCACATAGACACAGCTTTAAATGTTTTTTATATACACCTCAAGGTAGCAGGTGGCTCATGAATGCTGCAATGCTGGGGCAGATGGAGTGTCCCACAGGAGCATGGGGGCTCACCAGCACATTCAGCAGCAGACCCAGAACTGGACCAGAAGCACTTCTGGTTCACTTCCAGGTCTGACGAAGAGCACGCTGAGGGGCCCCTCTGCACCCCTGGCTCAGCAACTGGCACCTCCTGGCTTTGGAGGGGCACCCGGGGTCCTCCTGCAGCTGATCGCTGAGCCAGGGGTGGTCTGGGGCACCCCCCCAGTGTGCTCCCTGGTGGACTCAAAAGTGGACCAGAAGTACTTCCGGTCCACCTCCAGGTTCACGGCCAAGCATGCAGGGGGCCGCCCTGTGGGATATTCCATCCACTCCAGCATTGCAGCAATCATAAGCTGCACCTGGTACCTTGAGGTATGTAGAAAAAATATTTAAAGCTGTGTCTATGGCCAAATTGCTGATTTTTTTTTTTTTTTTTTCTGAATCGGCATCAAATCTTCAGATTCGGATTCAGCTGAATTGAATTGGGGACAGTGATCCGAATCAACTAATTGAATCACTGTCCCCAATTTGGGCTGAATCCGAATCAAATACAGCCCATTTCACACACACCTAGTGAGTACATAGATGCACTTCAAAAAGAGAGGGAGATGAGCTTGGAAATGTTACTTTGGACATCTTATTCCATAATTATCTACTCTATAGTTTCTGCATCTCCTTCCAAAGCAGCAGGTACTGAAGGTCTTAGAGATTGGTCCCTCTAGTGCAATATTCTACCAGGTACTGGTAGTTCCTTGGTTTCCTATTTTAGGTTATTCCTATTTTTTTCCTATCCCTTTGTTTCCAAATGTTTATTTGTTGTTAATACTGAATTGGTGAGAAAATGAAGCTGACTGTGAATTAAGGTGTGCAGTATCAGATGGTTTAAGCCTGTCTTAAACATCCTTCTCTGTGGCAGTTACATATTGAGGTATTTTGAATGCCACTCCACTCTCTGTTCCCCATGAGGTCCCCAGAATTTTCTCTTGTAAGGCCTGATCCTGATCCCATCAAAGTTTAATGGATTTGGCTAGGACCTTTGGTGCTGCGCAGAAATATCTCGAGCACAAGCTTTTCCCCATAACAATTAAATAATTGCAATTGTAACTGTAACCCTAGAGGGACACAGAGCAAATCACTGAAGTCAAGGGGAATTTTGCCATTGATTTCACACCTATCATAGAATCATAGAATCACAGAAGTCAGGTCAGAAGGGACCTTGTAGATCTTCAAGTCCAACCCCCCGCCTGGGCGGGAGAAAAAACTGGACTCAAATGACTCCAGCCAGGTAGGCATCAAGCCTCTTCTTAAAGACCCCCAGGGTAGAAGCCAGCACCACTTCCCTAGGAAGTTGGTTCCAGCTCCTAGCCGCCCTGACTGTGAAGTAGTTCTTGCGGATGTCTAATCTAAACCTACTCTCCAATAATTTGTGTCCATTATTCCTTGTCATGCCAGGGGGCGCTAGAGGAAACAGTGTCTCCCCCAAACCCTTCTGGTCCCCCCTAGTGAGTTTATAGACAGTCACCAGGTCCCCCCTCAGCCTTCTCTTGTGAAGGCTGAACAGGTTTAGGTCCCACAGTCTTTCAGCG